TTAGGGATGGCTAGTGCAGATAGCCTTCATGTAGATTCGCACAAAATTCAAAACAAATAAACAATCATTTGAGGTAAATAAATAGATAAATCTTTATTTACTTTAGATTTTTATGAATAACAAAGATGTATTTAAAACTTTCTATCTAAAGTGTAGAAAAGTTGTTTAATAGCTGTTGTATAATTTGAGATAAATGTTAGGAGGTCAATTTCTGTTTTGCATGGTAACAGTGATTCAGAGTATTAATTATTTCATGCGATGTGCTTTATTTGAAGCATGAGAAGAGATAATTGTTGTGGTAGTTAACATTACTGAGTATCTGACCTGTTTTCCTTATTTGAACCTTTTGCACGTGTGTGTCATGAATTTGTGTATGATGTTCCTATGTTAAAGTATAACTTGCTCTGGATGTGTTAGTAGAACAATTTCCTTTGACTGCAGGTGTGTAAAAGTCTTAAATCTCTCAAATATACACAAGATTTAAGGATATAAACTAATTTTTGTTTTCAGAATTGGTGTTTTAAGTTGAGTTAATATGACAATCATGTGGTGCTCTTTTCTCAGAATAAAAGCCGGAGTGCAAAAAGAAGAAAAGTTGAAAATAATTCTACAATACAGAAATCTCCAAGAACACCAATTTCTGTCAGCGACCAAACCAAAGCCAAGCTAGCTTCATTTAGTGCATCAAAAACGGTATGTTATTCTGTCGTAAGTAAAGCATAAAACCATAATACTGATGTCAGAAATTGAAATTTTATTTATTGGATATATTATTTAGTTTGTATTCATTCCATAAAAAAAATGTATAATAAATTTGAACTTAAGTTTTAAAGTAGAAAGTACTTATTATAATATAGATTTTATCATGTTGTGAACCTCACAGGTGAAATATTTTTTGTTGGCTTTAGCCTTCAAAACCAAGTGAATCTGATGGTGAAACAAAATTGTGGCCACATTTGAAGTTAGACTTTCTGAAGGATGGGAAACGAAGGTAGGAAATATCTTTGTGTTTTTTTACCCTCATTTAAGACTAACTTACTTTCTGTATTAATGGTCTTTTGCATAAACAATTAAGATGACATGAAGGTCATACTAAGTCCAGATTGATTTGTTATTGTAATGTTTTCCAAATTTGACCAAGATATAGTTAGTCTTTTAGTTTGAATTAGACATCAAAGTCAGAATGACCCATAAGGTAGTGTTTAAATACATGTAAGGAACAAAGCTGTTTCTTTTTTACTTTGTTTCGAGCTTTTATCCAGTGAAATTACAGATTTAACACTGATTGTTATATTAAATGTAATTGAGTGTAAATTTTTATTAAATAAACTGTCAAGACATTACTTATCCAACTGGGAAGAATGGACAGAAAGTTGCCCACAGAGAAAATGTAATTTTGTTTTCTGATGATGCAGAAGGTAATGACTGATTTTTACAACTGTTACTATAATTCATCTTTAGCAGTGACAAGCTCAGGTTAGATAGAAAAGCTGGACATGCTCAAGAATCGGTAAAGCACAAAACAACAGAAAAGCAGCTTTTATACAAGGCATGTTAGCCTTTGTTACAATTATACCATAGTTGTTATACCATAGTGGGTAAAAAGTATATGTTCACCTCATATGAAGCTTTTGGTCAACAACACAGCATTTCCACAGCTTATTTAACTTTATAAAGTTTAGTTCAGTACATACTGTGTGTATTTATAATGAATTCACATTGCATTCTGATCACACTGTGCCTTAACTGTATAATCATAAGTCATTGCCAAGTGGTATGTCTGTACAATAAGTATAGTATCAAGTCTAATTCAGTAAAGGTTTAGGCCTTTAATGGTAGATCTAACATAGGCTTAATGGTATATTTTAATGAAAAATAAAACTTTTAACAATACTGTTTTTACACATTCAGATTGACTGACATGAAGGAGAATGTCGTGACATGTTTAATAAGATATGCCTGTTTTGAATTTTAAGCTGTGCAGTGTTCATATAGCTTCGTGTACGATGAAGTATAGTGCTCTAAAAACTTTTCTTATTGTATATCAAAATATTTAATACCCTATTTTTTATTTTAACCACATGACATATGTGAATTAACAGCCTTGCAACAGTTTTAAGCGTAAATAATCTAAAACATTTCTTTAAAAAAAATCATGATTAATTTTCAACATCAAACTGGACATTGTTTTAGATATTGTTACTTAATATCATTGGTGTAAATTAAATGTATTGTGTTTAAGGGATATTGAAGGTCGGCCTCAGTCTCATCCAGATTATGATCCGAAAACATTACTTGTTCCAGAAAGTTTCAAGAAAACCCTTACACCAGTGAGTGTTGTTTTATATTAATTTTCCATTATTAGTAGAATTGTGTTATGATTTATCATTTTAATTTAAGCTTTACATATTTTGTTTCCTTATCTGTCTTACTAAATAATTTGGGAAGGATGTGATCATTGGAGTTGCATGTTTGGATACCTCAACATATTTTCAGTTTCCCTTCATTTACCCCATAACCAGATATTTCCTAAACATTCCTTTTATGCAGAAGACCAGCATCAGTGTCTTTTGTTTGAATTTTAATATTGTAGTTGGACAGGTGCAAGATAATTTGTTAATTTTATATTTGTTTATTTATTACATATTTCCCTAATTCTTGGATATTTAAATTATATCATCAGTTTCATTGACTGCTGGTTGCGTCACACTTCAGATAAATATTGAAGTTAAGATACTCCACTCTCCAAGCGATGAGAAAATAGAGAAACGGTACTGACGTATTGAAATGTCTCTATTTTGAATATAAAATGTAAAACTAATGAGAATGAAATTTTCTGACACGTCATTTTGTTGAGGTGTCATATTTATAGCATCTAAGAAATTAAAGGAACATAATTTTATCTGTTAAATTTGAAATTAGATGATATTTTAGGACACCATTTGTTCACTGAACACAAACCGATTGAAAATATAATGTTTAATATTGAAGAAAAAATGAATAAACTACCATTTATTACATATTGTATTGGAGTTATTATACATCTAAAAATAATAATAAAAATTGTATAGTAGTTATAGATGTTTTTTAGATAATACTGATTGATAATCTGATTCCTTTTTTCTAGGCTTTACGACAGTGGTGGGAAATGAAATCTCGGCACTTTGACACTATACTTTTCTTCAAAGTAAGTTTATTTTATCATTTTCATTTATAACGTTGCATGAAACTTCGTGCTATTATACTTGAATGTAGTTATTAAAACTGTTTATTACAATAAATTGGGTGGGATTTTAATCTATGTTTTGTTAGCAGACCTTGTGTTTGCATGTTGAGTTAGATCTTTTTTTTTTTACTATGCACAGGTTGGAAAGTTTTATGAGTTGTACCACATGGATGCAGTAATAAGTGTGAATGAGCTGGGCCTAATATACATGAAGGTATTAAAAGATTTGTATTTAATAAATACAACTAAGAAAGTGTGATTATTATTCGTCAGTGTTGTACAGAAATGTAACATTTTGCATAAATCACAAAATAAGTACAAAACAGTAATAATGCTTAGTTGTGAAAACTTCGTACAATGATCGGTATTTTTAATGTTAGTTGACAAACGTTGGTCTTAATTGTAAGATTTTTATTCTTATATTTTCCATACAAACAATTGTTTTCAGGGTGACTTTGCTCATTGCGGGTTTCCAGAGATTGCTTATGGTCGCTACTCTGATGCTTTGATCCAAAAAAATTCAAAGTAGCTCGAGTGGAACAAACGGAAACACCACAAATGATGGAAGAAAGGTGTAAACAGTGTAAGTTTATATTTTTACATTGTATGCAGTATATATATATTTAAAGTATTATACTGGTAAATAAAGACAAATATGAAGTAATTAATAAATTTCAGTTTTAAAATAGATATAAACTATTAAAGTATTTAAATGTCATGTTTCATATATGTGACATAAACATACAGGTGAATACTAAAGATGCATTTTTTAGATAAAGTTGGTGACTGTAATAGAAAAAAATGTGTTTATTACTATATGCTGTCATGATGTGATATATATAAGTACAAGCAATATATATAGTTCCATCCATATTTTGGATAGATGAATCAAAATATAATATTAGTCAAATTATTTTATGGTAAAGAAAAAACTATTACTTTTGTTACGGTTACCAGCTCTTTCTAATTATGTGAAAGTCAAGTCACGACATTTGGTCCGAAAGGATAAAAATGAAACTCAATAAATACTAGAACAGTAGTCAACTAGAACTAAATTTTAAGATACACATATTAAACATTAAATTCATAAGTCAAAATGTCTTTTTCTATGCAGTAGTAAAACCAAGCAAATATGATCGAGTTGTGAGGCGAGAAATCTGTAGAATAACAACAAAGGGAACTCGTACCTTTAGTGTTCAAGATGGTGAACCTTCAACAGCTGGACATTCTTATTTGCTGGCAGTGACAGAGAAGGTTCAATTTGTGTTATCTCTCTAAAAATTTAGATTTCATTATTTCGTAAAGTAAAGTTGGATTGCAATAATATCTAACAGTTCTTAAATTATTAGAGTAAATTACATTGAGTTTGCTTTTAGATATTCAATGAATGTACCAGAGTCGTTATCTTTTGGGAAAAAGTAATTTCTAATAATGTTGACCTCATATTGATTCATTGTTAAATATTAATCAAGAGAATTTTCATTAAGTTTCCTATAAAATTATTGCTTTGAATAGCGTATTAAAAATTACAGATTTTTCTTTCTCGTAGAAAGTTATGTTAAAATGTGTGGTGTAGTTATTGACAGAACATACAAATCTGATTTTCTAAATACAATGATTAAATTGGTTTCTAGAATGTGTGTTTTATTGTAATCACGAATGATGTTAAAATTGCATGATGGCAACCTGTGAGCAGGTGGTATCAAAATATTGTGATATTTCTTTAACAACTCATTTTTAACTCAATTTGTTTGCAATTTTGGTTGTTTTTGGGTACTCTCCAGCTCTAAAGACTAAGTTATTATGGAAAAGGGTTTAAACTCTATTATTAAATGTATAATTTATAATTGCAGTATTAACTAACAGTTGAAAGTTAGTGTACAGTACTGTGCAAAAGTGTTTAGGACAAGAGAATATTTTGTCATTTTGTGTTATGGGGCTAATTATTTCATGTCATTACAGAATGTAAATTTCAACACTATGATAATGCTTCACTGATCCCTGTTGACAACTGAATGAGCCAGAGTGAGAATTCCCATATATTTTTACCAAGGGCATATAATAAGTGTTCTGCTTGAATGAACATACTGATCTAATTTAGGGTCTGAAATAACTATTATGGTGACCCATGCAGTGTCTTAACTATATAGAAAGAAGCTTGTAAGGAACTAGCATATGGAGTTGGTATATGCTAGAAGAAATCAATATAATAGCACTCCACAAATAAACCTTGATAAAATCTGTGTTTAACACTATATATTAAGTTTTGTTGTCATGCCACAGCCCAAAAAGCGTAGAGAATTGTCAGAAGATCAGAGAGTTCACATAAAAGCTTTACGTGATGCTGGTTGGACTCTCCGACAAATTGCTGCAGACTTGAAATGCTCCCCAAACACTGTCAAGTACACCCTAGATCGTGAGACCGAGACAGATAAATTTGAAAATAGGAAAGGACACTGATCTCAAGCACGAGATAAACAATCATGTACCAAATGACAGAAAAGTGTCCAGATCTAGAGTATCAAAACGACTCGAAGAGAATGGAATATTTGGTCGTGTAGCGGTTAAAAAACCTTTACTTTGATCTCCAAATGTTGTTAAAAGACTGAAGTTTGCTAAAAAGTATAAAAATTAGACTGTTGATGATTGGAAAAGGGTGTTATGAATGAATGAGTCCATTTTTGAAATATTTGGTTAAAGCGTAGGTTATACATCTGGTGGAAGAAAGGTGAAAGATACCTCAATGCATAACACCTACTATGAAGCTTGGGGGAGGCAGTGTGATGGTTTGGGGGTATTTTTCTGCTGAGGCGGCAAGAGATATTTGCAAAACAGACGGAATAACGGACCAGCGCAAGTACCATCAAATACTGATTCGTCATGGTATACCCAGTGGTTTGCGTATTATTGGTAAAGGATTCTACTACCAAGAAAATAATGACCCCAAACACTCATCCAACCTATACAGAAATTACTTAACTAAGAAAGAAGCTGCTGGAGTTATTCAAATGATGCAATGGCCCCCCACAGAGCCTTGATCTCAACCCAGTTGAGTAGATCTGGGATTTGATAGATCAAAACTTGACAAATTAAAAGTTACTTCCAAAGAAACTTTATGAGAGGGTATTAGAGACATTTGGAGTAAAATCCCAAAGGACACTTTGATTAAATATGTTGCAATAATGCCTGAAAGTCTGTCTGCAGTTATTAAAGCAAAAGGGGGACTCACAAAATATTAATCATTTGCTGAACTCAAGCATTTCCACTGAGTTTCTGTTGTACTAAATATGAAGATTAATAAAATTTTGACGTTTCACTTCTGATTTACCTTCCATTGTTCTTTGAAAGTAGCCATAAATCTAATTTTAGACTTTTGTCCTAACACTTTTGCACAGTACTGTATATGATATAGAGACCTTTAAGAATAAGTTGATAAATTTGTATTCCCCTTGATCATCTTTTTAGACTAGATATGCTATCTAATTCCATTTGTTGATGAGAAAACTTGTATGTAATATGTTTGAAAAATGGAAGAAAAAATTAATATCAAAATAATATTTGGTGTCTTTTAGTGTTTTTTTGTTTCATTGCTAGAACTAATCTATAAATGTCTTTTTTTTTCAGAATCAAGGTCTTAAACCTGGGGATGAAAGTGAATATGGTGTATGTTTTGTAGATACATCAATTGGAAAGTTCAATGTGAGTTGCTGAATATGTTTTATGTTTTGTCTGTAAAGCTTAAATGCTTATTTAATGTTTAGGTTTCTTTGGTGTGGTCATTTGTCATTATAATTCCCCTCCTTTATTCCTAGTTCATTCCTGATACTTGATAGATTATTCATGTGTGAAGACCATCCCTTTGTTGTTATAATTGCTTTCTATTGCTTGTACAGCCCTGATAAGGTAAACACTAAGAGATAATGGATGATCATTGGCAATTAATTTCTAATACTTCTTTAATCTGTCCTAGAGATGCTTTGGTGGTTTTAATGCTAACTGTTGTATTGTGTTAAACAAAGTATATTTTTTTACTTCTAACTATCCACAGCGTAGTATTGCTTATATTCTCTTTAATGAAGGTTTGGAACTTATTTTTTAAGTAAGCCTTCTTTTAGTTCTATTCCTATTTTGACTTGAATTTTTGAAAAATTTTTACAATACAATTGGCCAGATGTGGGCTGAAAGTATATGTAGATTTAAGAGTATGCATCATTTATTCACCATAAAGTAAGAGTTGACCCTTACTGACAGTGACAAAATATTAAACTTGATATTAATATTTCTGGTCACTACCTGTTATAACTCATTATTGACAAAATCTTATTTTAATTGTTTAATATCAATATCTTACATTTCCAGGTTGGGCAGTTTCTTGATGACAGACATTGTTCTCGTCTTAGAACTCTAATTGCTCATTTTCCACCTGTCCAGGTAAGTTTCATACTTAAAATAAACCAGATGAGAAAATTCTCACACTTTTAGGCCTAAGTTAAATCTTTTCACTGTAGTTTAGAAAAGCTTAAGTTACATAATAAAGTATTTAGCTTACGTACACTTGATTTTGCTATTATTAAATGCAGTAAGCTGTAAACTATCCATATAAATTGATAAAGCTTGGACACAAATATAAATTTTAGCAGGGTAGGAGTCATCTGCAGCTAAGACAGTTTTATTTTTCTAACATGGTGGTTGACCTTTGGAATGGGTTGCTTTGGGATGTTGTGGAGGCAGTAAATTTAATGATAAGTGCTGGCTTTAAGATTTTGTTTTTGAAGTTATTTATTAATAGTTGTAGTTTAGTGTAGAGGATGGAACAGCCAAGATGGACCAATAGGTCCGATGTTGTCCCAAAATGTTGTGTAAAATGTGCTTATTTCATGATTATAGTTAGCATGTCTTCTTATATTTTTATTTTACTAATAGAATATATTGTTATTATGTCATTATTTTGTGATATTTTTAAATGGGTGGGCTATTTCATCTTCTCAGATTAAGAAATCCCTCAAACTAACGGTTCAAGAGGAAAGATTTTAATCTGTATTGTATATAAAGCTTGCATTGTTATTTTTTCTGGAGTGTTAGTTACCTGGTTCAGTTTCTTTTCAGCTCAAGTTTCCCATACTCTTTATTTTTACTAGTTACAAACTATCACACTTACATTAAATATTTGGATTTATTATCAATTCCAGTTTCTCATATTTTGTTCAGGACTTATAAACTTTTTTGAGGGTTTTGTTGTTGTTTTCTGACTGATCTACGCAAAAATGTTTCAGTTACATTGAATTTCTCAAATTCATAATGAATTTTAAGGATAAATTTGATATATCTCGTGCTATATATCTTGTTTAAAATGGGGCATTTTAAAAAGTCTCTTATTTAGATTAATGATTTAACAATTGTGATTTAGTAAAATTATGTTAGAATGCATCTTTTTGTTTTTCACATTTATCTCAGTTAGTCTTGTCAATGATATCTGGAGATAAAAGATACACTTCAGCCAAAAGGCTTCATTGGCAATGATATGTGGAGCAAAAGATACACTTCAGGCAAAGGGCTTCATTGGCAATGATATGTGGAGCGAAAGATATGCATCATATAAAGGGCCTTCTTGGTAGTGGTATATGAAGACAAAAGATACACTTCAGGCAAAGGGCCTCCTTGGTAGTGATATGTAGTGACAAAAGATACATTAGGTGTTGGTCTTTCTTATCAGTGATATGTGGTGACAAAAGATGCATTTTAGTTAAAAGATCTCCTTGGTGGTGATGTGTGGAGATAAATATTAGTGACTTTTAGCAGACAAAAAATAGGTTAAAAATGCAGCTTTTATACACTTCTTTCATAAGTCTGTAAAAGTTTTATGAAAAGGAATTTAAAGAAAAACATCTACAGTTAGGATTGACTTTGTAACTTTTGTTAGGCCTAAAAAACCTCAATGCTTTGCCAACTTTAAAAACTCTTTTTACAACATTATATATATATCATGTTCTGCTGTTTGTAGGGTTAACTGTTGAAACTAGGTGGCTGCACCATTCTCATGGTATCTTTACTGTACTCTGAGGAATCTTCTGTTTTTGAGTTATTTAGTTTTGTTTGTCCCAAAAAATTATTTTAGTTATTGCCTTGATTATATTAATATTTTAAAGGTTTTAACCAATGTTAAACAATGAAAGCAATTTATTTGTTTTCCAGGTTCTTTGTGAGAAAGGAATTCTTTCCAACAGAACACAGAAAATCTTAAAAAGTTGCATAACCTCTTCTCTTTTAGAAGCTTTGAAGCCTGGTTCAGAATTCTGGGAAGATTCTGCAACTCTCAAATTTCTTATAGAAAATGAATATTTTAAGACTGAAGATGGTATAATTTGGCCTGGTGCTATCAAAAAGATGATTGATGAAAGTGAGAATGTTTTTTTTCTTTTCAATGATTTTCAACTTTTGTATTTGTAAGTGAACATTTATAGTCGAACCGGGAGGAGGAGTAGCTGAAAGTTTTAAGTACAACTAAAAGAAACATAAAGAGTAAATTCATCACACTGTTAACAGGCACTCAAGAGTCTTCTAAAGTTACACAACAAACTTATCAGTAGAAAAACGCTGTAGTTTCAGCAAGAATGACAGCATTTCTTATGTTCCTCGAGTTACACATAAAATAAAATGTTTAACTTGTGGACCAATACAAAAATCACACCAGATTGATCACTACAGCTCCAAACAGAGCAGATGAAGAAAATATTTTATCCTTCTCTGATTTGCTGTACATCTTCATTAGTTCTAACGTATCTTATCATCTCCTGACTATTCCCAACAATTACACCTTCTACAGTTCTAAACTGTGAAAAACAAGTTATTTTGAAAGGGTACACATTCAATTATTGAACATATATAGAGTTTTGAAAGCTATTCATGGGATAATTGATGCAATGAAATAAATATATTTTTTCTACAAATAGGCT